GTAAACTGCAATTCCTTCTTTCACCACGAAGGCACGAAGACAATGCACAAGCACAAAATAATTTAATTTTATTGTTTACGCTCTCCGCGACTCACCGATTCACGTGCTGTTGTTGGCGACTAACGGGTGTAGCGGCGGCGGAATGCGGAACGCAATACCTCCCCGCGACGCTCCCACCACATTCCATACATAAGCACAACTCAACTGGTTAACTGGTTTTGACGAATCATACATTCATACTGCATTTTTTATTTGGCGCAAGTAAATGGGGTATTTTGCGTACCCCTTTTGGAATTTTTGAAAAGTGGCACATTTGACAAACGCGTTTAAAAATGGGGTATTGTACCCCATAAAGGGGTACGTCTGGCAACCCTAACAGTGATGCAGTGTTTCAAGAACATTTTAGAATGTGCCGGAGAGTGGTGGATTTTATTATAGGTAAATGTTTGTACCATCATCTAATAAATACCTTCTAACTTCACTTTTCTATAGGATACTTTGCACAAAGTGCATATAAAGCTGCAAGCATTGGTGGCCGTGACAATGGTGGGTTTATACAGTCATTAACACTAACTCATTAACATTAGCTCACTAACATTAACAAGTTGAAAGTTGAATAATTAATGCAACCGTTTATACGGCATTAATTAAGACATTAGTTCACTTAAGCTAAAGCTTTTAACTTCTTAGGGCCGGTTGTACAAGTATAGCTTAAGCAGAGTTTAAGAATTAAGCTGAGTTTAAACACAGTTCAATTTTTTAGAGTGTTGTACATACTTCACTCAACAACTAAACGCAACTTAAGTTTTGTTTTATTTAAGCAGCCGATTTTGTTGGTTTAAGCTTAGTTTTGGTTCTTTGCGCATAGTCACCGATTTGTTAGTTTTGTTAGGTTATAATTTTATGTAATACCTGTTACCATTGATTAACATAATCAATGCTGTTACCCTCCAAATTGTAATGGAGTTGCATGCACTAACAGATGATGAAGATTTCCTAGAAGTAATTAATATAATTGGACGCAGAAGAGCAGCAAAGATATATAGGCACCGAGATAACCACTTTACAAAGTGGAATGATAAGGAATTTTTAAATAGATTTAGGTTATCCAAAGATTCAGTTCGTTTTGTAATTGATTTAATACAAGAAGAAATATCACATCCCACAAACAGGTATAAAAACGACCCTATAGTGTAGCTACCACCCAACCACATCGTATAATTTCGTTACAGAAACTTTGCAGTAAGTGCCGAGTGTATGGTATTATTGGCACTAAGGTATTTAGCAACTGGCTGCTTTTTGTCAGTTGCAGGCGACTTTATTGGCATCGATAAATCTACTGCAAGCAGACTTACTACAAAAGTCTGTCGAGCCATTGCCAGTCAACACCGCATTTTTATCAAAATGCCTACCACAGAGGAAGAAATGAGAGAAAGAAGTAGAGGCTTTTACATGATTAGTCGTTTCCCCAAATGCATTGGTGCTATTGACTGTACCCATGTGAAGATTATATCCCCCGGTAACAATGCTGAGATTTTTCGAAATCGGAAAAATTTTTTTTCTTATAATGTGCAAGCTGTTTGTGATGCAAGCCTGAGGATTCAAAATATTGTATGCAGATGGCCTGGGTCATCTCATGATAGCACAATATTTTTACATTCTCAAATAAGAAATCAATTTGAGAATGGAGACTTTAGAGGGTACTTATTAGTTGGAGATGCAGGATATGCTATTAAGCCGTATTTAATTACTCCTCTAAGAAATCCGATCACTCGTACTGAAAATTTATTCAATGAATCCCAAATACGCACACGTAACCCAATAGAACGGTGCTTTGGTGTGATGAAACGCCGATTTCCCATATTGTCATTTGGGATTCGACAACGCGCAGAAAAGGTCGAGGCTATAGTAATTGCAACTGCAGTATTACATAATATAGCTAGGAACTTTAATGATGCACTGCCAGACATAAATGAGGAAGAACAAGAAGCTATTGCAGCTGCTGAAATAAATTTCGAAGTGGAAAATGTTCCATATTACAACAATGGACTAAATAATGCTGTACGTCATCACCTTATTCACGAATACTTTAATCGCTTAGCATAGTGTACAGTGTATATTACGAACAAACTTATTGTTTAACATTTTTTAATAACATATCTTTTTGTAACTTCAAAATTTCCATTTTTAATTTGTGTTCTTCTTTCATACATTCTAGTTCGAACTCAGATTTTGTCTTTTTTATTTCTAAATTTAACTTATGTTCCTCTTCCGTATGTTTTAATTTTACTTTTTGTTCTTCCAAAACACCTTCCATTCTACTCTCTTCCAGTTTTGTTTTAGCCTCTGCCCACTGCGAAATCTTCTTGTTAATAACACCCTGGGATGTATCTAAAATTTTAAAATAATTAGTATTTATAGTACATTTCTGAAAGTGATTTTACCAGTGGTGTTTACACAAAGCGCAGCTGATTTTTTTCTTTTAAGCATATTAGGTGTGTACTTTTTCCAGTTTTTATCACCTACAAATTCAGAAGGAACTTAGATTTAATACTTTATGACCAGTACCGTATACTACCATTATTTTCGATATCATCTGTTGCAGATGGTTTTACGGTCGAACTGTAGTCGTGATCGTTAGCAAACTCTACTATCATCTCTGTAACGAAACAATATTGAACCACACACACACTTGGAAGTCCTTATTTACCATTACTAACTTGCAGGTCGTCTGTTTCTGGTATTTCAATTTCAACTGGAAGTAGTAAAATGTATGTAAATTGTTTATAATGTACACATTTTTTACTTACTAGCATCCCCATCAAATTGTGATTGAAATCCCTCTGCTCTTGGGCCAAGTATATCTTTAATGCCCTCTTCGGTGTCATTTAATGGGGTGTCTTTGTAAGGACCACCCCCAGTTCCCATTGAATACGTTTTATTTTCAGACAGTTTCTTTTTCACCCTTTTCTTTAGATTTTCGAACTTCTTTTTTAACACAGCTTCACTACGGTGGCTGTCGTTTACTACATTGAACTCCCGAGCAACATTTGACCAGGCTTCGGTCTTTTGTTGGTTCGTAACCGCATCTGTTTTTTTGCACTCTAAGACATGTTCATATTGTTTTACTAAACTGGTTAATATTGCCTCTTCTTTCGCGGTAAAATTGGCTGCACGCACTTTTTTTTCGTTAGAGCACATCGTTATAAATAAACTAGTATTGATTGAAGGTTAAGTTTATTCACAACAAATATCCAATTAATTCTTTATGCGCATGTTTGCACGTTGCCAACAACAGAAAATTGTGGTTTTGGTAAACGAAGTTTGAACGCAGTTTGTACAACGAGGTTAAACGAAAACTACGCTCAAAACTTGGGCGTAGTTTAGTTAAACCATCCCTGAACTTCACACTTGTACAACCGGCCCTTAGTGTTAATGATACTGAAAAAGCGAAATACGCAGGCGTGTGATCTTAAATGCGTCACAGAATGTAAATAATAAAAATACATAACCTCCATTTTATTGTTTGATTTTCAATCTGTGCTTTACTACCTTTCATTTATTTGCCTTTGTACGTTTTTGTGTGACCGGTGTTTTGTGATTTTGTAAACTTGTTTAAATTTAGGTGTACCTGTATATAATAGTTCTAGTTAATTTACTTTTCGTTTTATAGTACTTGGACCTTTTTTGTGCACCCGGTGTTTTGTGTTTTTATAAACTTGTGTAAATTTAGGTGTACCTGTATATAATAGTTCTAGGTAATTACTCTTCGTTTCATTATACTTGGTATGTTTTTGTGCTGCCGGTGTTGTACTTGGTTAAGCGTTCATTGTTTTAGTAATATGGATGAAGAAGACATGGTTTTCTCCTTCTACCTATTGGTATGTTGCGCTGCACTTGTGCATTTGAAGCACAGGCGACACCGACGCTACAAGGTGAGGCCTATCAACCGGCAACGGCATCGCTATGGGCATTTTCATCGGAGAGTGCAGTTGATGAAGACCCTTCAGGATGACGAGCAATACGTGAAATTCACGAGGATGTCTCCTGCAGTGTTTGACCATTTATTGGGGATTTTAGGACCGGCACTTCAAAAAGACGTGACAAAATGCCCTATTTCACCTGCAGAACGGTTAACAATAACTTTGCAGTGAGTAATAATGATAAATATAAATGCAGAACCTTTCAATGATATTTTGTAGTTACTTGGCAAAAGGCTGTTCGATGCAGAAAGTGGCGACAGATTTTTATATTGGCAAGGCAACTGCACACTGTATCATCAAAGAAACTTGCTCTGTCATTTGGGATAGTCTTTCGTCACTGTATTTGTCTCCACCTACTCATGACGAGTTTATTAAAATTTCAAAGGGGTTCTACAACAGGTGGAACATGCCAAATTGCCTCGGTGCTTTGGATGGTAAGCACGTTCACATACAAGCCCCGAAGCACAGTGGTAGCGACTATTTTAATTATAAGAAGAGTAGTAGGTACGTAACAAAGAAACTGATACATTGGTGTTTGCATATGAATACTTTCAGTATTGTGTTGATGGCAGTGTGCGATGCATATTATAAATTCAGTCTTGTCGACATCGGTGCATATGGGTCACAACATGACAGTCTCGTGTTTTCGGACTCGCCATTTGGAAGTGCCATTTTGCACCGGCAAAAGGAAATTTTGGATCTTCCCCACGAGACGGCTTTGCCCAATACCGACCGAAGACTACCCTATTTTTTCGTGGCGGATCAAGCGTTTCCGCTACATGAAAAAATTATGAGGCCATATCCAGGGGAAAGACTAGGTCAAGCCAAGGAAATATTTAATTACCGGCTGTCTCGAGCAAGGCGAACGATTGAAAACACCTTTGGGATTTTGGCTGCACGTTGGAGGGTGTTTCGGAAACCAATCGTTGCAAATGTTGAAACATGTATAGCGATTACAAAGGCGTGTGTGGCGCTGCACAACTTTTTACAAAAGGGAGAGGAAGATTTACCGCTAGATCAACGACGATACTGCCCCACCGGATATGGAGACCACATTCGCGCAGACGGAGTTGTAAACGAGGGAACGTGGAGGTCAGGAGGAGAACAGCTCCAATCTGTGGGACGATTAGGTTCCAATAAATCAACAAGAATTGTAAGAGATAATCGTGATATGCTGGCAGCATATTTCACCAGCCCGGAAGGAAGTGTTCCGTGGCAGTACGATGCAATTGCACGTGGATCGTTGCCTACTTAACCAAATTGTTTTATATTATATGAATTTTTTTATTAAAGAAATTACATATTAAACATAATTTTTAAAATATCTTGTTTTTTTCTTTTTTTTTCCTCTGGCGGCATGTCTCTTAAATGCAGGCCAATCATGCGACCGAAACTTATATCACTGTCGACTTCTTCTAGATTTTCTTTGTCTTCGGCTTTCTTTTTTAGGTAATCCTCCAACGTTCCCAACGACGTTTGGAGGACATCTTCTAACGAAGTGGCCACTTTTCTTTTCTTCCCCCTTGCCTCTGCAGCCCGTAGAAAGGCTGTCTGCTGGGGTATGCTAGTGGAAGGCGCTTGCCTGCTGGTGGAAGGCGCTTCCCTGCTGGTGGAAGGCGCTTCCCTGCTGGTGGATGGCGCTTCCCTACTTTCAGCCAGCTCTTCTAAAGTAATGATATTAATATTAAGAGCTATACTTCACCCGAATTACCTTGCGACTGTTGTGTTTCTGTGATATGGGACATCACATCCCACACGTTGCTATGCCCTACATCGGCATCCTCCCCTTCGCCACCGTCATGAGAGGGGTGTCCCTCTATTTCAATTGGTGGGTGCCCTTCTGCACTTGCAGCACACGAGGACCGTTGGACATTTGAGGTCGTACTAATAAAATATATTACAACATTAAATACAACAGATCAACGTTCTTACTGTCTGCTCTTGATGAATCCCAATAGAAACAGCATTTTTTTGTATAAGTCGGAGACTTCCACACCTCCTCCAGCACCGGAAGCGTTTAATGCTGCCAGCCGCCTCTTTTCAGTAACAAATCTATTACGCAGCATCGCGAAACGTTGCTGGCATTCCTCCGCTATTATACAATTATAATGTAAGCACATATTTACAACGCTATGAATAAAACAATTACCATTTCGTTCCACCATCTGCCCAATGGTCTCCCAGGCATTCTTTTTTGCCTGCTTATTTTTAAAGTCGTGGTGGCTCTTGTCGTAAATGTGCCGAAACAATTTCACGACGTCGATGAGCCGCTCATCCTCAGCGTCAAGCATCTGTGGATATTAAATGTTTTTGGGTGTTTCTTGGGTGGTAAGATTACTTACGTTGGGACTTTCCTCTGGCTCAAATTTCGAATAAAAACGTATGTACATGTACACAATTTAGCAACTATGGAACTAGGAGAGGTTAAAAACTACTTAGTACTTAGGAACTAAAAACTACGTTAAGATCTGGGGAGGATTAAAAAATATTATGTTACAAACTAGGAAGGATTAAACTACGATAGAAACTAGGGACGTTAGGAAATAGGAAAAAAATTCACAAAGGAAGCAACGAGTATAAAATGCACGAGACGGTTAAAAACGGTTTGTTATGAACAGCAAAGCAAACAGCGGTTATGTCACACGACCAAACAAACAAATGCGCAAGCGCTTGCTTTGGATTCCTATTGGTATTAGTGACTGTATAAATCCCATCCTTTTGTCTTTAATTATAATGACGCTCTTAATGTTAATGAGCTAATGTTAATGAGTTAGTGTTAATGACTGTATAAACCCACCAGTCGAATGAGAAAGCAATATTGTTATCGTTATGGTACCTTGCCAATACAGAAACATTTCGACAGGTTGCGGATCGTTTCAATGTGTCTTTAAGTTCAGCACATAGGTGTTTGGTGCGTGTAATTACTTTTCTGACATCCATTAAGCATGAATATATAGTATGGCCTTGTAAGAACGAAGCGAAACATATTGGTGAAGAATTTGAGAAAAAGTAGGGAATCAAAAATGTTATTGGGGCAATTGACGGCTGTCACATTCGAATAAATAAACCCAAACTCAATCAAGATTCGTATGTTAACCGAAAAGGTTACCATAGTATTTTGCTTCAAGGTGTAGTTAATAACAGAAAAATGTTTATAGATGTATATTGTGGAGAACCTGGGTCTTTGCATGATGCCAGATTGTTGCGTAAATCAACATTATATGCAAAGGCTGCAGAAAATGAAGACATATTTTATAATATGTTTTTGTTGGGAGACTCGGCATATCCATGTCTTAATTGGATTGTCCCACCGTTTAAAGATAATGGCAACTTAACTGTACAGCAGAAAAGATTTAATTATAAACATTCCAGCACTAGAATTTGTGTAGAAAATGCATTTGGCTTGTTGAAGGGAAGATTTCGCAGGTTGACACATTTTGAGAATTTAGATATGCATCTAATTGTTAAATGCATCATGGCATGTTGTGTTCTTCACAACCTTTGTCTTAAGGAAGGCAACGATTGTGAGATAACGGAAGTAAATATTTCTGAAGATGTGTCTAATGATCCTCAAAGGCAAGATAATTTACCAGTCAACAACAGAAGAGAGCAAGTATTTCTTTTATTGAGAGATCAAATGTAAATATTTTTATGTCTTACTAACCTATCATAGCACATTTTATATCTGTGATACGCGGGCATAAAGTACCACTTTATGCCCTAGGGCATTAAGTATCACCATAGTAACTCATTTAGGTATACTTAATGACAAAACGAACAATATTTGCAGGTCATTGAAAATTAGAAACTTCAATTACCTATTAGTTGTCAATACCTACTAAATCACAAGATTGGCCTTATTTCGTATAGTTTCTGGAACTTCTTGCTCATTCACGATGAATTGAATTATTTAAAATTACGTTTGACGTTTGGATGGTTTCAATCACATTAACAAATTCGAACCACGCATACTCGATCAAACATAATGAATTATTTTGTAAACGAATTTTGACGAAGAAAACTATTTGTAAAACATAAAATTGTGTATGTACCACGGGCATAAACTGATGTTTATACTCTCGGGCGACTAAAAAGCTCTCGGGCTATAGGCCCTCGAGCTTTTTAATTCGTCGTCCTCGAGAATATAAACATCACTATTATGCCCTTAATACATAAATAACTATAATGTAATGTAAAATAGTTTATAATAATAAGTAATCGATTATTCAGTTTCTTCCAACTTTAAATATTTTTCTAGTAGTTTTAACTTCTTATTTTCAAGAGCCATTTTCTCATCATGGCGGATTTGTCGTTTCTTATATTCTTCTTTTTTCATGTTAATAAATGATTGAGATATTGTTTGTTTCCTTGTTTTTTTTGTGGTGGTGCTGCTGCTTCATCATTTTCCGGGACAGGTGCATTGGGGTTTTCGTTTTCCACATCTACTATTTGAATGTCTGGACTTTGAGAGTTAATGGTTTGGGGATGTTGTACGTTGTCTTGGTTTTGGAAAGAGGTAGATGCAAGGGCATGATTACATGAGTTAGCAGGTTTATCTCCCAGTATGTTATCTAATTAATCGAAAAACATAAACCTACTAGGACCTCGTCCACTTCTAATTTTAGTGTCTTTTGCAGTTTTATAGCTCCGCACTAAGCTTTTCCATTTAAGCTGTGCTTGGTCTGATGTTACAACAAAGCCTAAGCTTAGTAGATCATTTGCCACATCATTGAATACATTTTTCCTTTTCCTTGGATGATCAAGGTTATCCAAATGTGATGCGATAGAGTCAATTAGAGCTTTCGTTTCATTATATTGCCAAACATGTTTGCTTTCAGTTAGAGTTCCAGAAGATTCCCCTAAATTGTGTGTTTAATTATTCTGTAAGGTTTGCTATTAGCAAGGTAAGTTAAATATTGTGAAGTATCCATACCTTATCATTTGGCATTAATTCCTCATCATTTCCTTCAGGATTATCATTATTCCCATCTATCATACCACTCACACTAGTGACACTACAAAGTAGTGCACGTGCAAATGATGTATCTACAATCATTTAATAAAAAAATGTAAATTGTGAAGTAATTTTGTGTACTTTACTGCCGTCCTAAGCAAGAAGGCAGTATCTCCAATTTTTACCATTGTTGGTTTTCTACTTGCTATAGGTTCCTTACACTATTTTACCGGTCCTTGCAAAGTTAGAAAGCCGTAAGTGCTCATGCATTGGTGTGGTAAATGATCGACATTGCAGTATCTCCACTTGTTTTTGAATATTCCTAAGCAAAAAGATAGTAAGAACCATATACAAGACTTAAAGGTAGTATCTCCCACACAAAATGGAGATACTGTTTTTTAATCTAGCAACTGCATGACCTTATCGCGAGATGCCCCACCAGAAATGTCATTTGCGCGTTTAAGTTGAAGCTTGTCTTCTTTTTCATTTCTTTATATAAGCTGTGGTGGTATTGGTGTATCATAATTACAGTTCCTCCAAAAAGCTGACAGAATTGATATGTTTAAAAGAGTTGTGTTTTGACAAAGAATAAACGTTTTCAACGAAACCTTTGTCGCAGTTGGAAAAAAAACAGAAAATCAAGCCCTTTGCGTGCCTCTGGCATGAGTGCATAGCAGGACGTAAAAAGGAAGATTTGATAAGCACAATTCATGCATTTATGTTGCACATGCGTGATGTAGAAAATATAATAATTGGGCTTGATAACTGTGCAGGCCAAAACAAGAACTGGTAACTGTTCTCTTACTTAGTCTACATTATCAATTCTAATGAAATTTCAGCATAAACAATAACCCTTAGATATTTTGAACTAGGGCATACCTCCAGTTTCCACCACCAGGTGGAACAGTCTTTGCAGCGGATGAAAAAAGTGTATGACTTTTCTGATTTTGTATCTTGCGTTCAATCAGCTAATTCTGGAAAAGTGGATACCAAAGAAATGAAGCTGGAAGATTTCTTTCTTTGGCCTGATAACTCGTCAATTTACAAAATAAATCATACAACACATCGGCCCTAGTTAAAAGATATGGTTGAAGTTGTTGCTCGACGAGGTCTCTTTAATTATATTTTATAAAACAAGTTTCGGTTCAAATGAAACCAAAGAATTACATTTTTTGAAATTTAAAGTAGCCAAAGGTGGCTTCAAACCACCAACAGTGATTTCCAAAGCAAGAGGGATTAAAGAAGAAAGAAAGCAAGCGATTTTGCAAAATTTGTTAACATTGATACCTGAAAATCGCAAACAATTTTGGCAGAATCTTCCCTTCAATGATACAGCTGCCGACTTAAGATTGAAAGTTAGATGATATTTAAAGGGTTTTTTTTGTTTGTTTTTACCCTGGTTTTTACATTAATGAAATTTTGATTGAATTTTTAATTTTGACTATTTTGTAACACTTACTGATAAGAAAATTCTTTAATAAAGTTAATAAAGCGAAATGCGTTTTGTTGTTATTAATGCACTCCGTTGGGGAAAATACTACACTAAAAAGCAGTAACCGCATCAACTAATAGGATTTACTGATTTTTTGTGTACATCATTCCCATCGTTTCTAATAACATACCTAGCTTGAAAGCAGTAACCGCCATTTTATTTATAATTTATGGAAATATGATATCAAAATATAAACTTATTCAATATTAAGGAGATGAACCACAAAACAGTTCAACAGTTTGAGAATTCACAAATATTTTCATGGTGGCCCAGGTCTATTTACTAAAATCTGCATTATCTCGTAACTAACATTTGTGGAGTTACTGCCTTCTTTCTTAGGACGGCAGTTTACCTGTCTTTGCTTTTTGAAAATCTACATAATTTAAAGTACCTAAATGTATGCTCAAAGTTTGCAGTGGGGTCTAACAGCGTAATTGTACAGTGTGAGCAACAATGATTGAAGCGTGCGTCATCACCGCTTGTTCCTATTAATATCAAAACTACCTTCTTTGTATGGAGTTGTATACGAAAATGACGTTCTGCGCTGTCACAGTGACGTGCGTCTATTCGTATTTCGTATCTTGTATCAAATCAGCATATGCTATGAGCGGCACATTGCCAATTTAGCTGAAGCGGCACGCTTCAATCTTTGTTGCTCACACTGTATATAAATCATCGCTCTCCGACTCCGTAGAACACATTTTCAATGGAATTGTTTTTATTTTTAAGTTTATTTGAGGTTATGTATCATCATTGAATAAAAACCACATAGAAGAACAACGGCATACAAGAAAAGGTGCCAACTTTTTTTATCTATAAAGTAGTGGTATCGTACGGAGAGTAGTAAAACTACGAACATGTAGTTACAGGAACCTCTTCAACATGTTTATAATTACCTCTATAATATAACTGGCTACTGACTGGAAATATGAGACGAGCCACGAGAGAGAATGCTTTGACTGCGGTGATAGCGCATTGATAAAATTATACACTTAGGTAACTTGATAGCCGTTGATACAACGTTCATCTAA